TCATCGAGAATGAGGGATGCAAGACTGGGTCCTTAGCTTCTGCTTAGGAAGTCAATGTTGATTCAGACAGTATCTTTTCTAGCCAAAAATATGCAGCAAAAGGAAAGTAACATAAACAAGGCTAAATGTCAACACTGTTTGCAGACTTACAGACACCATCCATTTGTTTGTACTGAAATGACTAGCGAACCATTTGGCAAATACAATGCTATTCACAGACCAGCCCTTTTATCCAGCAACACAAACTTCACTGGATCACTGGCATTCCCAGTTAATTAAAAAAAGGAAGCAAGCCATATGAGTTTGGTTTGATATTGCCATGCAAATGGCACCGCGACATCCACGAGTGTGGCTGGAGCCCAGGCGTGGGGCCGAGGTGCTGGTCTCCTGGGATCAGCACAGTCAGACACTAAAAGCAGGCCTTGGACTTCTAACTGAAACTCTAAAGAAACCTCTTCAAAATCTCAGTAACGGGGTAAAGAAAAGTCTGCAGTAAAACTTCCATAGCATTTCATTCTGCCTTGAAGGAAAATAATATTCTGGTTACTCCTTCAACTGCAGGTCAGAACAAAAGGTTGGGTTACCTAAGTGCATTACAAGGTACTACAGTTGGCTGCAGAAGGATGACCTGCCATTGCCTCATAGCTGACCTAGAGCTTGGATCTATTTTGCTGCTGTTTAATATGGATTTTATATTTTTAAAGAGCTGTAATAAGGATTTAAGTGAAGCCACCACAAACAATTAAAAATATTTTTCTGTATTTTACATGTTGGTGGTAGTTCTGAAGGGCCTAGCATTATAATCTTTTTCGTTTTGACACCTGTGGCAATAAGCAATTTACAACAACTAAATTCACCATTTAAACACTGGGGGAGAGCACTATAATTATGTGAAAGTAAAGCCATAATAATCTGCCACAATTGATCTTCCCCTCGCCCAGCCCTCTTGTCTGTGCTGTAGTTCCATATTTGTAAAGTATTTCAGAAAGTTATAATGCTGAACATTTTAATAATTCTGTGTAATGTTGAATGCTTTCTGCTCCAAACAAAATGGGAAGTGCTCAGCCCTTTGCAGGATCAGAACTGCTGCCAGAGATCAGAAGGGCCTTGCCCTGTTCTCAGTGAAAGAACTGATAAGGGGGTGGAGCCTGTGCAGGAGAAAACAGCACTAATTGCAGAAGAGAGCAAGCATGAATGGAAGCAAATTAGATTTATAGAGACAACATGGAACTAATATTTTTGGGCAACATTATGTGAGGGTTTAATAGCACTAGCCCATTAAGCTATCAGCTAACACCCAGAACTATCTCTGGTCAGTAGTTCTGGAGTCCACCAGCTCTTCTTTGAAAGCCTAAGTACTTCCCAAGCAGCAAAAGCAAGTAGGGAAATTTTACTGTCTTAGAAACAAAGCAGAAAAATTTAAAGGAAAGGAGAGAGACAAAGGAAAGGGTCTTGTTATATATAGATGCTGTGCAAATCACATGTTAATTAACGACTTGGAACAGGAGGTAGAACATTATTGCAATACAACTACATGTATATGGGAAGACAAGTAGAGAAAGAGAAGAGCATAAATGGAAAGGAAATCAGACCTTCCAAAACTTAAATACAAAGCAGGTCTAGAACCTCCAGGCATAACTTCTCAAATGAGGAAGGGCTGTGAAAGAAGAGTACATGGATGCTCAAAGCAGATACCAAGCCATAGAGCCATCACCCTGGGCTTGCCCTCCAAGCTGAGCTACTGGCTGCCAAGAAGCAAGGAAGGGCAAGTGATCATCTTAGGAGCTGTGTGATAGCAGAGCTTAACAAGATTGGCTCCTAGGTATACTCACTTGAGACTCCAAAACCAAATACAGGTCAGGAGTAACTCTGAACTCATCAATGGTTATTTTTAAAATTTCTTCCTGTTCTTTCCTATTCTCCTCTAAAGGTAGAGGAGAATATTACCAAAAAAAATGTGGTGTTTTCTCAGCAGCATTTTGACATGGGAATTTCTATACTGTGCAGTAATTATGTTCTTTTCCTGTTTGTGTCTTTCATCCCTATTGCCTGCAGCATGATTGGAGTATAAATGAAGCTTGTATACATCATCAGTCTCATTCTACTTATAGGGAAACAGGACTGTTTCCCCCATGTGTGATGACTTTCCCGAACAACAATGTGAGTTGGTGGCATTCTCCTCTAGAAATTAAACCCTTTTCATGTCAAGATTTGTGCTTAAAAATGGACCCATTATTTTTAGGTAAATCTGCCAAATAAAAATTATCCACATGGACACCTGAAAATCCCAGCTTGTTTTTATGCAGCCAGAAATTTAACTCTAGTAGTGTGGCCAATCAGGGATCCAATCTCAGCTAACTGAAGCTGAGATATTTTATTTCAGTTTTATTTCCACTGTATTCTTACTGCAGAAAGAGTACCATGCCTTCTGTCTTGACTGTGCAAAGACTGTATCAAGTGTATCAGTGTTGTCTCTTGAGATGTCAACAACCCTCCTGTGCCCCCATCACTGGCTGTAAAAAGAAAAGGCAAATGCACAGAGTCTCCCAAAATACAAAAGAACACAAGAATCATTCCCTGGAATCAGGTACTGAAGGTGAGTCTCAAGTTTTCTAATCCCTCAGGCAGTAGGAGAGACAAAGGGAATCACGGCTAAGGTCATGGGCTTTTTGCAAGAGGGAAGGCAGGCTAACAAATGAACAGGGTGCTCCTGACGGCTAATCTGCTAGTGCAGAAACATCAGGTGGGATTCCCCACACTAGCATGCACAGATGGAGTGTGATTTCACAGTATAAAATGTCACTGAGAAAATGAAAACTCCTCAAAAACACTACTTTCAAGTGGGCAGTGTCCAAACCAACCAAATAAAGAAAGAACTACTGACATGGAGCTTGTTCATACTCATCCATTTCTCCTGTGAGATACTGAGAACAATGAAATAATGTATTTAAATAGTCAACATGAATACTTAATTTCTGCAAACACTCAATAGAATATCAGTAAAGAATTTTTAAAATTTATTTTTGGAGGGGGGAGAAAGGAGGACTCACACTGCATTTTCCGTTAGAAATGTCTTAACAATTAGAACAAGCTCCTGTTGTGTTTTTTTTTCCTTCATACTTCAAGTCAAATCCATTATCACTGGGCAGAGCTCGTGAAAGGGATATGGTCTTTCAAATCATATAAAATCAAGCCATCATAAAATGTCTGTTGAATTGATTGGAAGATGAAAAAAAAAAGAAAAAAAGATGGAAGTAACATGACCCTACTTCAATAATAACATTAGAGGGATTTTTTGGTGTTGTTTTAACAATGTGTCTGGGAAGAAGAATAAAGATGTTTTGTAGAAAGCAACTAATCTTAGTTTACCAATTTTTCTACTTGTTTGTTTAGAGAATAATTTATCTGATTTTTTGTTTATTTTTTTTTTTTTGGTAACTGATTGATTGTACTCCACAAATATAGAGAAAAAATAATCCAAGTAGGATTTTACCAGCTGCAAATGAAATTAACTGTCAAGTATTTTCAATATATCAGTAATGTAACTGCTGATTCTGAAGAATCTGGAAATATTCCCATCTATCTGAATTGGTTCTTAGTGCATTGAGACACAGGAGTTTACAAGTAAGGCCATGCAGATACTTAGGCTTGTGATTCAGTTTAAGTAATGACAATATTGTGAAGCCAAAAAGCTCTAAGAATACAAGTGAGATAAATTTTGCAAGATGTAATCAGACTTTTTTATCAGACCAACAAATATACCTGGAAAAGCAGAGAGGGGTCTGAAGGTTATGGCTTTAAGCACTGATACTATCCTAGTAAAGTCAAAGCTCCCACTAACCTTAAGTTAACCAGGATAACCATTCTTAAGTGTTTGCAGATTTAGGGTTTCATTTTAAATTGTCCAGCTTTATAACTGTTGATCACGGGTTTTTTTCTTTTTTTAATTTGAATACATTTTATTATGCACGTTCAGCTCTGACAGTGAGTTTTCTGATTAGTTTGAAGGTTAAGTGAAATGAGCATTACTGAAGTTTTTGTGTCCTTTGCTGACTCTTGCTTTTTAAAGTGATACTGTGTTTCAAAGGATTTGCACTCTTAAATATCTTTCAAACAAGAACTCTGGAGACAAAATAGGAGATAGATTGAAAAAATCCTCATTCTCAATTGTTCCAAACAGATTCAACTTCCATTTTTTTCAAATATAATGTGTGAGATGTGAGGAAATAAAACCGCAGTGTTGTAAATCAGAGATTTAAATAGGTAAAAGGTGGATTTTTTTGTTTGGTAGGTCATTTTTTTAAATTACCTGGAGGCATATTCTTAATTAGGCAAATTACAATTTGTACAACTGCTAGTTAGAATAGTAAAAATGGTCAAGGGCAACTACTGTAGGGGTGCCATTGAAACAAACCAGGAAAATATAATTTTTTTAAAAGGGGAGGGAAATAAAAGAATAAGGGGGGAAAAAAAAAAGGCTCTTTGCCACAGGTAGACACATTCCATGCACTTGGCCTTTGAGTTCATTAATGTTGTGGTAACTGAACACACCCCAATTCAATGAAAGGGAGAAAAAAAAAAGAGAGAGAGAGAAAGCAAGGTTTGCTTGGCAAAGCATCCAGTGTTTTTCTTGGGTTCTTACTTATATCAAAATACTGAAAAGTTTGCAAGTTACCATGTAGATTTTTAAAAACTTTTTCCTCCTTTGAGTATGCTAAAGCAGTAAGTATCCCCCTCAGATGCCACTAGCACAGATAGTCTCTATTGCTGCTACTCTAATTTAAAAAGCAAGTTCTTTCTAAAATCCTGTATAAGTATATGCATGCAGCACTGCTGATTTCAATGGAGTAGACCACATATAAGACTAGAATTTGGCCCACAGGGTTTAACATTTAAAAAAATGTATTACTAACAAACATGACTAAGTATATTTAAAGAGCAGCTTCATGATTCTGCACAAGTGTTTTCTGAAATGGTCTAAAAGAAGGTCTAAAACTTACCACACAAGTCAGGTCTCTTGATACATCCACTAGTTGCTGTGCTACTTGCAAGTCCATTAAAGGCTGCTAAGCCATCAGAGCTGTAAGCTCTTAGGACTGACAACATGTTCATCTGCTTCTCCAGGACCTGTGGACCCTGAACTTGATCAGGCTTCATCACTCCTTGTGCAGTTTCATGGGAGGATAGAAGATTCTGACTGTGCCACTGCTTTTCAGACGCTTGCGGCAGTGGTGATACCAGCCCTTGTGTTGGTTGTGAGGTGACTGCACTTTGTATATTGTCGCTTACTTCACTGCTTTCTTTATTTAGGGCAGACAACTGCTTATTCATAATATCTGGTTCTGTGTCAATGTCCTCATCTTCAATGTTTTCTTCCTTGGAAGATTCCATATCCTCAGATGAAGCTATGTCAGAAAGGTCATCAGTAGCACTTTTATTTACAGAGTCAGAAAGCAGGATATTTGGGTCATCTTCAGATTGTGTTTTTATTTCAGATTCGTTACTGGTGCAAGAGTTTTGTGTTCCCGTGCCAATAACACCAGGATAAACACCAAACTGCTTATAGAAGTCTGTTGTAAAATTACAAAAAGTGGATTCCATGTGGCTGGGCCAGGCAGAGCTCTTTTGTTCTCCCAGGGTCTCTTTATTTTGTCCTTGGGTCATTTTCTCAGAAGCTGAGTCCAGCTGGCTTAGTATGGTTGAAACCACTGCCTCCTTGCTGGACTGCACAGAAGAGGGGAGCAAACTCACTTTGTTAACCGAGGCTGAAGCTTCCCTAGATTGGTCTTTGTTGTTCCCTATGATGTTGTCTTTACGTTTAGCCTTGCCCAAGTGGTTTGCCTGGAGGTGCAGAGCCATTAGTTCCATAGATGAAGTTGTAAAGGAACAAAATAAGCAGCCGTGCCAAGCAATATTGTCTTGCACAGTAACAGATGAACCTGGGAGGGAGGCTGCATCTGGCCTGACGGATAAGTCAAGAGGTTCATATTGTGACTTCTCTGTTTTCCGCTGTGAGGACTTGCTATTTATCTTCTCCTCACCACCATCTGAGCCCAGAGCTTTTGCTGAAAGTGGATCTGAAAGAGCTTTATCCTTCATTTCTTTTTCTTTCTTCAAAGAACTTAGGACAAAGCTGTCCATGAAAGCTTGCAAAGATCCTTGAAAGTTCACACCATTCCCAACCATGTTCTGGTAAGCCCGGCCAAGTTCAGAGAAGTGTGCTCCTTTGGAAGATATATCTGAACCCTTCATATTTTCTGAAGATCCTTCAGATGACATGCCAGCTGCTTGTCCTTGCTGATCTCCAGAAGACAGCATTCCTGACGTCCACTGCTGTGAGACCATGCCACTTCGGAAGTCGATACCAGGAAGCCCCTTGAAGGCTCCTCTCAATATATCTGGTCTAATAAATACAGAACTTTTACTTGATGTCTCATCTTTGTGTTCTTGACCTGCAGTCTGCCCAGAGAGTGGTCCTGCTCCATTCTGTCTCTCCCGATGGTGCCGTTCCAAGTGGTATTTAAGGGATGCAGACTGAGTCCCAGCATAATCACAATGTGGACACTTATAAGGCTTCTCACCTGTGGGTTAGGATGAAGAGAAAAATATAAAGAAAGAGAGTTAACTGTCCTTTGGTGTATGGATGAGTGGAGAAAAAGAAAATCAACAATAGTTTATTGAAAACAGGAAGAACACAGAGCTAATGATTCATTTTTAAAAAAGAAACAATTTTAATTGAAGACTAATTGATAAACTGAATATTTCTAAAACAGGTTTCCAGAATGTGGGGTTATTCAGGAATGACATAGTATCTACACACAATTAGCCATCTTTTCCTTAATCTAACATGTAGAAAACTGTTGTAGAATTAAAAGCTATGATTATGAAAACGAAGCATAACAATTTCAACCACAGTAATCATTAAAAGTACAAGTTTTTGAAAAAAAGAAAGACAAAGAATGTAACAAATGGATGGTTGCAATATTTTGTGTATACAATTGCTCTAAAATTTGTTTAAATTATACACATGGAAACCATTTTTAAACCTAAAAATTTTATGGCACTGTTACGCAAGACTGAAATGAATGATTTAAGTCTTGCTCTGCAGTAAATCATGGATATAATTAGCAAATGGCATACTGCACAAGTAATTTATCATTATTTGGAGGGCACCATTCCAGAAGGATTCAAAGATCTGCAGACCTACTGCATTGTTTCTAAATAAAGAACTATAAATACAGATTCTATAAAATATTAATATCATTACACTACATTATGATTGCAGCATGTAAGAACATATACTTAAAAATAAAAATAGTCAATAAAATAAAAAAGAAATCAAGTAATAAAAAAACTACAAAATATATTTAATTTCTGTATTTGAAATTAGCATTATCTACTGGTTTTTGCAGTCCTTTAAATTTCTACTAATGGTATTTCTAATGCTCAGGTAGTAAAATGTGTAATTTACCTACCATAAGCACTTTTCTCAGATTAGCTTCAACAGTTTTTAAACTTATAAGATTATTTTCATGAATTAAATGTATATTTGAATCCCACACTAAACTCTATTGTTCTTCATATACTTTAAAAGAGGTAGAAGATAATACACATATAATATATATATTCACATCATAAAGACAAAAAGAACATATATCTAAGCAAATGTAGATCTAAATTGTTGCAGAGCACCTGTTAACAATGCAGAGTTCCTCTTAGAGGAAGAAATACCAAAACCCTCACCAAAAGTGACAGGAATTAGAAAGACCTGTGAGCTATTTTGGCAACCATTTCTATGAGGGAGCTCAACAAAAAAAAAAGAAGAAACTGATTTTCTTTAGGGAGCTTTTTTTCCTAAATGATCCAAAAGACAAAGGCAAGTCTTCTCCAAATGGTACAATGGAAATACTTGTTTTAAAAGCTTCCTCCACAGTAAAAATGCTATATAATATTATATAGTTCACCCAAACCAGCCAAAAATTACCCATTTTTAGATGACCTCAAAATCTACTTAAAACAAAACTCAAAGGCTTCCAAACTTTTGCTATTTAAGCTACAGGTTCAGTTGAATGGCTGGTAAATTCTTGAGAAGCTGCTTCTCTCACTGATCAGAGGAATTTACTAATGAGATACAACACCAGAACACTCAAATGGCCACACAGCATTGTGTGAGCAGGATTACTGACCATGAGCAGTGTTTGGATACGTGCTGCAATTCAGATGAGGCTGAAGTAAATTATAAGCAGTGGGAATTCTAAATCCATAACCGAATTCTAAAGCTAAACGGTGAGACATGAGAGATTTTAGTCAACCACATTAATCAACCAATCAGAGGAGAAAAGTGCAGCACCTTAAACATGAGGTGTGCAGCATAAGAACAGGTTGTAACTAGCATGGTTCATGCTTGAGGCCCTTGTCCCCACAGTTTAACAGAAGAAATCAGATTTAAACATTTCAGTAAAATTTCTGAGTCTTCCACAGTCACCTAATTAAGTTCCTCTCCACTGAGAAGTAGGGCCTGCACTTCAGTGGGATTTGTCCAAAAATAAATGGTTCCTACTGACATGGAAAAATCTCTCAACTGAGATGGGTCACATCTGCCTGGGCTTCACTGGTCTCTGGTGAGAGTCTGAGCACACACACACACACACACACACCCATTGCAGGTGTTTTAGGGTAGGGACAAGGGGACAGAAGACACTGGGTGTCTATTTGTTTGCATTTCCACAGGGCTGTTTGGTAGTGTGCAAAGTCCAACAGCTGTGCTGCTAGACAGAACATGGACAAACATAAATTCTGTTTACACAGCATGTATATACTGCATTATTTTTAGTTGTTTTCTGTTATTCTGATGTTTGTCCCACCAGGTACTGTCAACAGTCACTAGTGACCTCTGACACAACGTAGGTATTTCAAGTGTTGCCTAAGAAGTAATCAGACTGGTGAAACAGAAGTACCAGACTTTATAAGGTTAAATACTCTCACTTCTGAGCTTTCAGTCCTCTTAACTGAAAAGCTCCCCCTCAGCATCCCCTATGCCTTTGTGGAAAGTTTTAACACAATTACATTGAGCACGTCCTTTTATTCTAACGATAGTTCAGTGTGTGCATTGCACTTCAAATGACACCATTAAAAATTGTGTCCTGGTACTGCAGGTGCCATGTCAGCTGTTGGAGAAGTACTCCTGCAGGCAGAAGTCTGGAATGTGGGCTGCACTGATGCTCCTAAAAACATACAGAAGCTGTTCAAAGTAATAAGCATATGTAGAAATGGGTATAGGTGACTTAAAATATGCCAAGTAGAGGGAATACTAGTAACATTTTGTACTTCTAAAGTACTTTCAGTCTAAAGCTTTGGGCACAACGACATACTCTTATTCTGAATCACTAAGCCTTGAAGTCATTACATTTTCCTCTTGAAGGCCTCTCCACTAAGTGAGCTTCCTTTCAGCAGAGGAGATCTGGACACAACTTACCACCAACACACTGAGCATTGGGCTGGAAGAGGACACTGACTGAGACAGTGTGATAAAAAGTTCAGATCTCTCCTAGCCTTGGTACACTGCCTCTGTGATGCTCCCACCTCTTGCATGGCTAGAAATAAGATCTAAAGCTGAAGGTCTGAAATTGGACTCGACATGTAGCAACACACTGTGCCACCTTCATAACACAGAACTGGCCAAATAACATAGTTCAAAGGGGACTATTCAAAACCCCTCTCTTCTCTTTTCAATCCAAACATTGGCAGGGTTTAGTTCACTTCAAAGCAATCCTAACTGCTGCTATTTTGAGGTCAAGCATTAAGAGAAGGGAGTAGGATGGAGTAATTAGCTTTGAATATTTTAAATTTAGTATGTAAGTCTTACCTAAAATCACTAATTGTGCAGATATTTAGATGCTGTTTCATCCATTCAAATAAAAAAAAAACAGCTCTGCTTTTTTTAAGTTTCTGCACAAATCAGAAAATGTATAAACTGCTGTGGGGAAAAAGCCTGACCTAACCTCAACCAAACTAAACTATAAGCAAGGCAGTTTCCATGGAAAACCCAAAGGACTCCCTGATTTCCTGGGCTCTGTCAAGAACTGCAATAGTATATGTTCAAGGAATACTAGAGGGGACAAGAGAGGTAGGCTATGACTCTTGTTAGAAGACAGCCTGTTTGTATCTCCTACTTTTAGGAGAGGTTTCAGAGAATTCATCCTAGCATAATGACTATTCTGGTAATACTGCCAACAGCAGTGTTGGGATGAGTTATTTAACATTTACTATCAATTCACATAAATTAACGTTGACACGTAGGAGTGAGGGAACATGACTTTTTAAAAATGATTTTCTGCATTTCATATCCAAGAGTAGTTTTTCATTGTTCACAAAGGCTATGACCATCCTGATCTTGTTAGTTCTCTGGCCCTCTTTGCATTGCTGCAAGCATTTTCACTATGGAGTAGAAAGAGAGAATATTCCAGAGTGTACAATAAAGAAAATACTTTACAGAGATTAACTTATGTGGGCAAAATAATCACAGTTCTGATCTATCTACTGCCCTGGTTTACAAGACACAAGACATCTCACATGAACTATTTTATATCAGGATACTTTAAAACAGTAAAAATTCAATACTGCTTATAAAATCTGCACAAAAGCTTGGTAGATAACTGGAAACAGACATGTTGCCCAATAGAAACAGGTCTATTTGGATACTAGGTTATAAAAAACCACAGATGTATAATCTGTGCAAGCTATCGCCAGTCCTGCTCAGAACACAATCTGATCATTCTAGACACAGGAATTATCTGCTACGGGCTGTGCAAGGAGACCACAGCCAGATTATAAATAGATTTACAGATTTTTAAGGCCAGAAGGGATAATTATGATCATCTAGTCTGATCCGCTGTATAACACAAGCCAAAGACCCTCACATGATAATTCTTGCATCAACTCATAACTATGATTTGAAACAAAACTTACTTTTAGTTTAAACCTACTTTGTTTCAAGCACAGCAATGAAGAAGAACCCAACATGTCCTTAAGTAAACTGTTTGACTGGTTAAGTATTTTCACCACTCAGAATGTGTGACTGATTTCTAGCTTGAATTTGTCCACAGTCTGCTTCCTACAGCTGAATATTGCTACACTTTTCCCTGCTAGATCAACCAGATTTTTAAAATAAGAACATTTCCTAAGGAAGGCACATGCAGATAGCAAAGCAGTCACCTCTTTACCTGTGCTCACTCTTGAGTGAAACACCCTCCCAATTTTTCAATGCCCTTTTAAATGATGGGTAATCACTAAAGCTTTGATGAAATTTCGACTTGATATTAATCTTATCCAGTCCAAGTTTGGGCTTACATGCATAGCTGAAGCAATCAACTAACAGCTCACATTCTGTTGCTTCTCTACCATAATCCTAGGCCCAGTTCATCAATACCTCTAGCATTTGTTCCTTTACATTTTGCTGATTTAAAAGTCATATTGTTGAAAAGAGACCTATTGACTACGTGACTAATCAGTGTCTCCCCAAGACTTTTAGCATCTTACCATTTTTTTGTGCCGTTGGTAAATTTTATCAACTGTGGTTTCA